AGTGGGACAAATGTAGCAAACTTTAAAGCTCTATAATATAAATTAGGAGCTGAAATATTTCTTGTGTTAAATCATTCTACTTAAAAGAAGAATATTGATTAGTAGACAAGATTAGACTCTTTCTAACAGCATTCTCTCAGACTCAGGCAAAAGTAAAAAGAGCTAATAAAGTTCTTGAAGCTCAGAATGTAGTGCTGGGGTTTCTAGGTCACAAGCATTTTCCTACTGTTTGCTGAGCACCAACATTTTGCCAACTGTTAGAGGAAATAAGTAAAAAGGCCATACATGCATGGTTTTATTGTGAGAATCTTTTTTTTTTTTTTTGGTACTGGGAATAAACCCAGGGGCACTCAACCACTGAGCTTCAGCCCCAGCCCTATTTTGTGTTTTATTTAGAGACAGGGTCTCACTGAGTTGCTTAGCACCTCGCTTTTACTGAGGGTGGCTTTGAACTTGCGATTCTCCCGCTTCAGCCTCCCCAGCCACTGGATTAATAGGCATGCACCACCACACCCAGCCACTATGAGAATCTTGATGAGAAGTGAAGATATACACAGAAATAGTGCAGCTCAACATGGCAGTTGTACTAGGGTTCTCCAGGAAAGTAGAAGGAGATTAGATAATAGGAGATTGGATGGATAGATAGACAGCAGACAGATAGGGATACAGATATAGATACATGAGGGAATTTACTATAGGAACTGGCTCCTGTTCTTTATTATAGAAGCTGAGAAGTCCCGTGATATGCTGTCTACAATCTAGAGAAGCAGGAAAGCTACTAGTTTAGGTCCCAGAGTCCAAAGGCCCAGGATCCTGGAACCTGTCCGAGGGCAGGAAAGATGGAAGATCCAGCCCAAAAAGAGAGAGAGGATCTTCCCTTCCTCTGCCTTTTTGTTTGATGTGAACACTCCCTGGTGAAGGTAGAACTTCTTTACTCCGCCTACTTATCCAAATGTTAATTTCTTCCAGAAACACCTTCTTGACACCCAGAGAAATGTTTCACCAGTAATCAGCATTCCTTAGCCCAGTCAGACACGTAACATTAACCATCACAGCAGAACCAGAACTCCAAGAGGCAGTAAGTGCTCTCTGGGCCAAAAAGCGACGTCAGCAATGGTGGTGGCCACAGAAGTTAACAATAGTTTAGAGAAGCTGAGCCTCTACAAGAGCCGGTTATGGATGTGTGTGTCAAGAGAAGGGTCAGCAGCAGAGAAAAAGCCCAGAAGCAGAAGGTGCTAGCAATATTAGGCCAGTGCAACCTGGTATCCTGTTGCCTCTGACCTCTTCCTTGCTTACCACAGTACAGCCTCACTGGCCTATATACTGTTTTTCAAACACGCAGATTCTTGCCACAGGGCCTTTGTACTTCTGCCTGGATTATCACCCCAAGTATCCTCAAGGCCTCTCTTCCTTTCCTTCCTGTCCTCTACTGAATGCCACCTTCTCAACAAAGCCTTCCCTGTCCATTTCCACTTCTGCCTTGGCTCTTCCTATCCCCCCTCCCTGCTTTGTTTTTTTCAAAAGAATTTATCACCATTGGACATATATTTTTTTTACTGCTTGTCTCCCTCTCTCAGAATGTTCTCTGTGAGAGATTCGTTCTGTTTTGCTCACTGCTGTGTCCCTTGCTCACAGAACTTTGTGTGGCACAGAGTAGTCCTTTGATAAGTATCTGTGGAATGGACGAACACTGCTCGCGGTGGAACTGGAAATATCAGCCTTCTTCCCAAATGTTTTCAACTCAGCATACTGATGGATTTTTTCCATGGCAACCAAGCCCTGATTATCATAAAAGCCAACTGGAAAATATCATCTGCTTTACCAACATTAGCTCTTTTTCTAAGCCTGCTCTATAGATGATATCTATTCTATAAATAATGAAATATATTATTTCATTATTCTGAAGAATTTTTTTCTGAATAATCACTAACAATATCACCAGCCATGGAAAACATCCTTATTCTCAATGATTATTTTAAAAAAAAGTGTAAAAAGTCCATATTCTTAGGCAATTTGGTCAAATTTTTTTTTTTACTAACTTGGAAATGACCACCCCTTGGAGAAGTCTGACCCTTGACTAACCTGATGGAGGACCCTGATTGTCACGGTTCTATCAAGACTAGGTCCTGTATTTTTATGATAGATGCTTTTCTTTAAGGCGGTGAATTTTCTCAGGTTTTCCTAATAAGCACAGATAGGGTTCCCCTTATCAGGGACAGCATGTACTCTCAAGGATCACAGATTGCCTAAAGAGGAGGCCAGAGAGAGGAGGACTGGCTATAGCTGCACACAGGATCAGAATGTGGGTGTGGGTAGACACCCAAATCAATCTCTCTTCCTGGGAACATGAGGATTCCTGGTCCCTGGCTTAAGCAAAATCTAGGAGAAAGAAAGAAAGAAAGAAAGAAAGAAAGAAAGAAAGAAAGAAAGAAAGAAAGAAAGAAAGAAAGAAAGGAAGGAAGGAAGGAAGGAAGGAAGGAAGGAAGGAAGGAAGGAAGGAAGGGAGGGAGGGAGGAAGGAAGGAAGGAAGGAAGGAAGGAAGGAAGGAAGGAAGGAAGGAAGGGAGGGAGGGAGGGAGGGAGGGAAGACAGGATGTACTCTATTAAAGAGCACAGAGCTTGCTTTTTGTAATTCTAGACTCAAGAGTACCCTGAAGTTTCCTTTTCTCCCTGATTCTGATTCCTGCACTTTCTTTGACCATCCAAAATTAGGAGACACTCAAGGGTTAAGGCGTTTGAGTCTCTTCCCTATGGAACAAAGCATTTTTAAAACAGAGGACTATATCCCAGGAATTAATTATCTCCTAGCTGTATTAGGAACTGCTATTCAAGGGAATATTTTCAAAGCATTTTCAAAGGTAGTATAAAGCTTTCTAAGGGATTTATGAGAACCAGTTAGTGACCCAAGGTTTTGGACAAAAACTTTCATCCCCAGGAGGTAAGACAACTCAGCTGGGCTCACAGAACTTTCCAATCTCATCTGCTCAGCAACAGCAAAGTCAAGGAACTCTGAAGGGGCTGTGTCAGCCAAGGGGAGCTCTTGGCCTCTGTTTCTCTTTCTGGATCCTGCCAAGAATGACATCACCTCACTGGATTATTAGCAGGCCCTATCAGCAAACACTACCCTATCAGTCACATCAAAGCTGCCCCACATATGTTCTTGCTGGTCAGGGAGCCAGTTTCCATCAGTTTCATGTCCTGCTTTAAACAATCCTGAGATGGTCTCATGGACGGAACAAGCCACTGTGGCATTATTTTTTAACGTGGAGGAATATGCAGCAGGTCACTGTGATAACAGAACATGTCATTTATGGAGATTTGGATATACCACTAGGCAAGATGTTCCTCCTAGAATAAAAAAAAAATACCAATGTTTATGGTCAGCACCTAGATTGGCATAGCCAACCGGCAAGGTGATAACCACTGAGCTTGTAAAGAAGTCACATATCAAATTTACTTGATTAGTGTTCATGCCAAGATGGACACTTCAGAGAATCATAATGAAGACAGGGACCTCAGAGATCATTCATTCCAACTGTCCCATTTTGTAATATGGTTCTATTTAACTGCCAAAGGGGGAGGCTAGGACCTGGAAAACCTAAATACCCACTAGACAGCTAACTAACTATCAAAGCCCGTGGCCTAGCTTTAGGAGTACTAGCAAAGTAAATGTTTCAATTGCCAAAAAAAAAAAAAAAAAAAAAAGGAAAGGGACAATTAGTCATTTGTTTTAATAATGTAATCAGGTTAAAAAGTGCCTCTGAGACCAGTGTTCCTGCCTGTAAGACACAACAGGTCACCTTGTGAATCCCATGAGACCTGTTCTGTCTCTCGGTAATCTACTTCATGTGATAGTCTTCAGCTTGCATGAAGGGTCACATGCCTGTCTGTGTAAAGTTCTTATAACTAAGGCCACAACGTCTGTCTGATATGCTTTCTCCTTCCCTTTCATCCCCTCGAAGTACCAGCCTCCATTCTCTAGCCAGCTTATTTTTACAGAGTATCAGGAGAGAAAAGGATCCTCAATTCCTTCTGTGAGGTTTTCAGTCATCAGTTATTGATGACTTGCGACATGTAAGGCTCTGGGACCTCTGCATGTCTGAACCACGACAGAAAGGAGCAGCATTTAAAATGGCAAAACTACATGAATTTTCTGAATGCTGAGGAAAAAATACATCTCATAGAATCACTAACCATATCTAGTAAGAAGTGCAATTTTTTAGTGCTATGATTTTTAAAAATGAACTAGATCAAAGTAAAGCACAGTTAAACCCACATATATTCTGAAACTACTTGATTAAATAGAACATTGTTTTGTCCAGAGCCTCCATGATTTAGACATGCAAGACACCATTAAACATGCAATGATATGTTAGGAGACCATGTCTCAGGCCTGCCCCAGAGTGCAGGAGAGAGGAAAGGGAGGGAGGGAATGCTTACAAAGCATCCTGGACTGCCCTGCAGTGGAAATAAGGTGTGGAAGGCTGTCAGTGAGTCTTCAAGCCAAAAAATGAGACTTCACAGAAGTCCCCCATCTCCCAGAAACAGGCTGCCTTGCTATCCCCTCATGACTGTGGCATTGGCTGGGGGCAGCCAGCAGAAAGAATGTCCTCAGTGAAAACATGGCAATGGGTTTCCAAGTTCAGCCATTGGGCCCTTGTTCATTTAGGTGTCCCAAAGTGGAAAGTCTGTGAGGTATGTTCTTGTGGCTGCCACAAACATGAAATATGCTCTAAATTGAACCCCATAAAGTAGAGCCTGTGTAGAACAGCTGTTAACGTAGAATACGATGGCTCATTTTTGAGTCCTAGCTCTGCTCTTACAGAATGAGGCTCTACTCTCAGCAGTGTGGCCTTGGTCAAGTTACTTAACTTTGCCACAGAGTCAATTTCCTCAGTTGTAACATTTAGATAAAAATAGAACTGACTTCATAGGGTTATGAGGATTAAATAAATTATCACAAGGCACTAAAGGGAATGCCAAATTTAGTCTAGAAATAAATCCTCAATACAAAATCATTTTTATTATTAGATTCCATCATGGTTGTGGTCTGCTATGGGTTGAATCAGGTTCCTTCAAAAAGATATATTGAGTCATAACCCTCAGGGCCTGAATGTGACTGTGTTTGCAGACAGGGCCTTTGAAGGTAATCAAGTTAAAATGAGGTTATGAGGGTGAACCCTGACCCAATGTGAATAATGACCTTTATAAAAAAGGGATATTTGAACACCAAGATTATACATTTAGAGGAAAATGTTGTGAAGAGACACAAGAAAAAGATGGTCATCTACAAGCCAAGAAGGGAGTCTTTCCCTCACAGCCCTTGGAAGAAACAACACTGCCAACCAATAACCTTGAACTTCAAGAACTGTGATATGACCGGTATCTATAGTTTAAGCCTTTCATTCTGTGGCAAATTATAATAGAAGCCCCAGCAAATTAATATATGGCCCATTCTTAAATTCTAAAAGTCTGGACGTTTCCAGGAAAGTTTTGATTTATGACACTCATGGGAAGTGGATACACTGGCCCCAGTCCAATGGAACTGCAGCTTCTTCCAACATTTCCACTAATGAACATACCCAATGTCAGGGACCATCAGGCAGAATGCCTTTCCCGTGACAACCCATGTCCTCCTCATGTGGGTCCTCAACCAAGGGACAGAGTCAGTGCCTTGCTGTTATTTTAGACCGCGTGCAATTTAATCAACAGTGGCAAACTTGGAAACTGCCATTTGCCCATAATTGCTGTGACCTGTGACCAGCATAGCTAGAGGATGAAACCACTGGGCTTTATCTGAAGTGTATTCTCCACACCATGAGTAGATTACAGAATTCAAGATGAAGTTTGCTGAGATTTTTTAGGTAAGCTCATCCTGGCAAAATGTGGCCAAATAAATTGGGTTCATGCAAGAGATTTGGAGGAACTTCTGAAACCTAACCAGAATCTAATTTCTCCGTCTGAAGTGCAATATGATCTTCTTTCCAGGGGGACAATTGTCTCAGCAAAGAGAAAAGGGGGAGGGGAAAGAGTGAGGGACAAAAAGAAACAGCAAAAAAGCGACATTTCTCTGGTGTTATCTATGGTTGCCTAAGAGTTGATGCATGTTTAATGAGCTTTGATCTGAGTTTCAATCAATTTGATTCTTTCCATTATCTAAATGGAATTGGTTTCTCACTGTGCATCTTATATTATTTAAAATAAGGCCTTGTTGCAACCCTAATTAGCTATACTTGAGACGCTATGCAAACACCTTTACTAAAGTCAGGGCAAGAATGTCTTCCAGGGCCTGGGGCCTGCCACTCCATTAGGCTGACCTACTAAACCCAAATTTCTTGCGAGTGAAAGGAGTGAAAGGTCAGGCACATGTGGGGTGGAAGGAGCTGAACTCCCCATTCAGTCTGCAGCTCCTGCCTCCTGCTTGAATTGACAAGTACCTGCTTCCCCCGCCACCGGGATCAGGGGGGTCAGAGGCAAGGCAAGTGTGCTGCTTTTTTTTTTTCCTTCCTTTAAGAAGATAAATTTTCAAAGGATTTTCAGGTAAAAGTTAATGCATGATGCTGGAGGGTATCCTGCAAATGTTGGCTATTTCCAGGATAAAAAGAAAAGCCTACAGGGGCAGCAATCACCGTGTTCAATCAGTTTGGTCAAGGGCGGGTGAAGCCTGTAGGAACATAACTCTTTTTCCCCTCCCACTTTTCTGTCTCTTCTGGCAGGGATTCACACTGCTAAATTTATTTCTTTATTTTATCATCTAAAGCCAGAGAATAGATGAATAAGAAGATCCAACCATATGTCCTACTGGATTTAGAGTAAAGCATTTGCTCTCAGCACTGGCTGTACATGAGAATCACCTGCAGAGCATTAAAAAATAAAAAAATACCTTTCCCAGTTGTGCCTCCAGATAGTCTCATCTAAAAGAGCCAGGCTGGGGCTCAGAGATAGGAGCTTTGAAAGTTCCTGGGAAACTCTAATGCACAGCCTGGGGTGAAAAACAATGAGGCAGATCCTCATTGTCCTCACTGCTGGATGGACACAGCCCAGATGAAGGAGACTGGGGGCCTGCAGCTGCCAGTGGAGCACCCCTGAGTCAAAGTCATGCAAAGGACCAGTGGACCCATGAAGTCTACAGAGACTGCCTGCACAGACAGGGACCTGGGTGAAAAGGGGGAGTGTAGAACTTGCAAAGCAAAAAAAAAAAAGAGAGGTCCAGGGGTCTCTGTCCAAAAGGAGGAAAATGGAAGTGGATGATAAAGAGCTTGAATCTGTAGCCTGGAATCTGGGCTGAGGCAGTCCTCTCTGGAAGCCTTGGATTAGAGATATTGCCACAGCTGGCAATGCCATGGACCTCCCACTAAGGCCTGGCATCCCCATGCTCAGCTACAGGAGGTCATGGGTCACAAACCACAAGCATACAGTAAGGATTATCTTCTTTCTTTCCTTGAGACTAAATAGAAGAACATTATTCCACCCTTCACACTGATGGTTTTACATATGGTCCACTATGACATCAGTTGCAAGTGGTTTTGTTTTTCTCTCCTGCACATTGAGGGGTGGAGAGTGTCTCTGCTCTTTCCTATCCCCCTTCTGGAGGCTGCCATTCCCAGCAGGGCTTGTGCTTTGGGGCTGGCTCCATTTGAAGAGTGGTCATACCAGCTAGAGAATGAGCAGGATGATGATCTGTGGGGGCTGGTTCCGTCATCTGTGGAGGGTCCATGTCTTGCCTCGGAGGCGCCCTCCTCCTTCTGATGTGGGATCTGTGTGGGCACAGCAGCCACTGATGCTCAGATGTGAAAGGAGCCCTCAGCGGAAGTCTGCGGGTTGCAGCCTTTACTTCTGAATTGTAGTTAAGCCCTGTTATTGGGAAATAAAACCAGATTGACTGTTAAGTGCTCAAAGAAGGATTCCTGAGGACATGCCTAATCCCACTGCCTTTTTCAGCCAGGACTTTAATGCTGCTCCAGTCATGTGAATGAGGAGAAAGGGTGGCCTTGGCATGGGAGGGTAGCCTGCGTTTACCTGGGGAGGGCTAGAGGGAGGAACTATATTTCCTCACCTGATTGCACTTTGCATCTGGGGGTAGTTTCTTCTACCTTATCTGGGTTGAAAACTTCTTGAAGTAAGAAATGCTTCCCCACCTGCCGTACCCAGGCAGTCTTCCTCAGATAGTCACTGCAGAAAATTGTTCGTGTCCAAGTCACCCTGTGGGGAAGGAGAGAGGGAAGGAAAGAGTTTGACCTTCATCCCAGGCCTCCGCCAGAGCCCCCCGGTTTTTCCTGAAGGCATAAGTGGCCTCTGTCCTATTAATACTGGGCCAAAGTCTAGAATAAGCTCAAGCTGATGGACACCTGGGGCTCACCATTGCCTCAGGGGTCTGCAGGTTCCCCACAAAGTTACCACATTTAAATGTTTAAGGAAGACTTTGTTGAGGCATTTCTGAGAGCTGGCGTAAAGAGACACTCTGAGAGTGCAGATGCAGGTTTAAAGTTTCCAGTAGCTAAATCTGAAGGGGTCAAACTGCATCTATCTATTTATTTATTTAGTACCAGGGATTAAACCCAAGGGCACTGAGCTGTATCCCCAGACCTTTTTATTTTTTTTTTATTTTGAGACAGGGTCTGCTTAGTTACTTAGGGCCTCACTAAGTAGCTGAGAATGGCTTTTTGAACCTGCATCCTCCTGCCTCAACCTCCTGAATTACTCAGGGTGTCCACAATTTGAGAGGGGAGAAAAAGTGTAAATCACAGCTCTAGAGAGGGTGTGGTCCAAGACAGCATTCCCAGAGGCAGAAAACTCCTGTCTTCCTCTACTTCTGCTTCTCTGCAGAGAGATTCATGCCATACTGTCTATAGCCATGTGGCCTTGATATGCACTGGAACATGGCCTGGAAAGATCCCCTGTCCCTTAGTTCATCTCTTCTCCTCCTTCAGATCACAGGTCAAGCTTCAAGTCCTCAGAAACCTCTCCTGACTTCTCTGACTAGACTCAATTCCCTTATTTATGTCCTCATAGCACAAGGCACTCTTTTTCCTAGCACTAACCACAGTTGTGGATTTGCTGCTTATGTCTCTCCGTATATTGGGATCCCAGGAAGCCAGGAACCATGTCTGTTTCTGCTTAAGATCTTATCCATCTTATCCCCATCACCTCTCACAGTGTCTGGCACATAGCAGATACTCGATAATTCACTGAAGATTTTTGTGCAAACCCACACTTATGAATTTGTTGTCCCTTTAAATTGACTGTAGGTTTGGCAGGTATAGTATGCATCAACACTACTGTGTCCTACCACATACACACACATAGACTTGTGAGCGTGATCTCTCCACTGTGAGTGAGTATGGGTCATAAATAGAGCCCTAGCCAATAAGAAAGCAGCCAGCCCTCACCCACATGACCCCCCCCCATTACTGTCCTAAACCTCAGGATCAGCCAAGAACCCTTTTGTACCCAAACATAGTAGAAAAGGAAATAGCCTCTGGAGAAGTGAAAAGAGGTATGTGGACTATGCTTTGAGAACATAAAGTATTAGAATAAGTCCTTAAGGATCTCATCTCATCCTTGGAAACCCTCTTCCAAAACCATGTAGGCCTCTGACAAGTGTTGGCTCCACTCCCACTTACTAAAGCCATCTGCTGGCCATTTGAAGCACAACTTCATTCTGTGTCATCAGGTTTAAAGCAATAGGCCAACAAATGTACTTGGAGGTAATCCACCGACTATTTCCAGACAGTGGAACCTTGTGAGATCGGTTTCATCAGGATCCTTCAGGGAGAAAGGAAGGTGTAGACATGCCATTGGTAGCTCAATGTGATTATCATGGTTGACCAGGGAGGTTGGTGTGCTGAATGGGGCTTCTTGGGACTCAAACAGCTGGGTGTCAAGAGCAGAGACTTCAGTAATAAGACCAGCAGATGGACTCGGCTCCACAATTTTACAATCAAAGCTCAGCAAATCACTAAGATTACTATCTTCATTTTTCTTGTGTAAAATAGGAACAATGATAGTATTTATCTCATAGAGCTTTTGTAAGAATTGGCAAAGTGTTACATGTAGAGCACTCTGCCTGGCACATAGGAAGCGTTCAATATATATTAGATATTAACATTACTGAAAATGAAAACTGAGGTCAGAAAAGCAAATGCATGTATTTCTAAATACCAAGATTGTCTGCTTTCCAAGTGACAGCCTAGATGAAACACTGTACAGTTATGAATCTCCTTTCATTAAAACATCTTTCCAAAACTACACTCACCACCCCAGTGCCACTCTTCTCTCCAGCTTAAACCCTCCCTTGCTCATACATTCCATGAACAAGGTTCAGCTGCACATTGTCTTGTTTTCAAAGCCGATGTTTGCTTTCAAACTATGCATTTAAGAGAATTATCGGTAAGGAGCTTTGGGGGTAGATTGGATATCATGAGTCAGAAGAAATTTGATTTCACAAGATGATTCTTTTGTGCTATTGGAAATTCCATTAATTTATGAGCAAGTGTCTTTAAAGGTATATTCAGGTCTCCTGGGACCAAAGCATAGTTCTTCTAAATAATATGTCTTTTAGGGCATTCCTTAAATGATTCGCTTTGTTCGAGACTCTTTTAAGAAACCACATGTAATTACACTCAACTATTCAGAAGGTTAAGCTTCAAACTAGCAAATGCCAAGAAATTCAAAGTTCTGATTGCCACCCCATCTCTAAAGCAGCAAGCTGGCCTTTGTTCCTCCCCTAAAGTATGATGCCGTCAGAAAAGAATGTGAGCTGGTAGTGTCCCTGGCTTCTGGCTTCTCCCTGTAGCATTCCTTTCCATTATTTGGGCAGGTCTTTTGATAATCAACTCTGGTATTATTTATACCTGGGTGCATATATTTTAAGAAAGACGCCCCATGCTAATGACAGGGCACTGAATGGTTTGCAAAGTCTACACATGAGCCAGGTCCACAGAAAGATCCTGAAACCTCGTTCAGTATTTCTTATTTTTCCCTAACTCACTTGTAACGTGCATATTCGTGCCTCCTGCATGTAGAAATATTACTCTTATCAATCAAGAACTAAGCCACGGTTGAATTCAATATTCTTCTAATTCTTTCAGCCTGTCAAGACCCCCCAAAACTTTCTGCAATTGTTTAAATTGCCATCAGCTTTATAAGTCAGAGTTGAAAGAAATAGTCACACCTCAAGAAAATCAGACTTCACTCAATTGTGACTTGCAATCAAAAAAAAAATGCATAACTATTCCCTATGCTGGTGCTCAGAGAATTAAAGTACAAATACCTGTAATGGAAATGGGAAAACATAGAAAAACTAGAAAGAAAAGAGCTTCATCCATTTATTCAACAATGAATTAGCAATGCCTAATCTGAACCAAGTGCTAATCTAGGAACTGAGTTTACAGACATAAATACCTGCCTTGATGGAGCACCCATCTCAGTATTGGATCACAGACAATATATGTATGGTGTGTGTGGTATTTTGGTGTAAAATGGGTGGTATGGCAGAGGGAGAGGGAAAGTGATGTTGGTATAAATAAAGTGGGAAAAGGAATAGAGATTTCTAAGAGCAGGTGGTCAAGAAAGTCCCACTAAGATCTGAACAAAGACCTGAGAGAAATGAATGAATGATGCATGTGGATATCTGAGGAAGAAAGCATTCTTAGCAGTCATGAGAATCCATGACAGAAGGGTCCCTGCTTCAGTCCTATGCAAGGATGAGAGTATCATACCTGGAACAAGTAAGTAGGGAGAGTGCCAGGAGTCCAGGGCAGAGAAGAAGGTCAGCAGTTTAAGCAGCCTGTCCTGGGCCTTTGTAAGGATTGGGGCTTTTACTCTGAGCGAGAAAGAGCCATGGTAGTGATGTAAGCAGGGGTGATAGGATCTGACTTTATACTTTAATAAGATCCCTCTGGATGCTGTGCGAAGAGTGGAACGTGACAGGGCAAAGGCAGAAACAAAGAGGTGAATTAGGAAGGATGCTGAAAACTTGGACCAGAGGTCTGAGAAGTAGCCAGATCCTGGATTATTTTAAAGGAGGAACTAGTGGGACTTGCTAGTGGGATTAGATATAAATTGTGAAAGAAAGAAGTGAGTCAAGAGCAATTCCAAGATTTTTTTGGCTTCAGTACCAAAGGATGGAATTGCTGTTTTTTTTTTTTAAGATAGGAGAGTGGGAGGAAGGTGAAGATTTGAAGATTGATGTGTTAAGTTTGAAATGCCTCGTAGACATCCAAATGGAGGTGCTGAGTAGGCAGTTGGAAGAAAAAAACTAGAATTCAAGGAAAAAGTCCAGACTTGAGACATGTTTCTAGGTTTATCTGCATTTGGATGATATGTAGAGTCATGAGCCTGGCTGAGATCACTCAGGTAGCAAATGGAGGTGGCAAAGAGAAGACAACAAAAGATTGTACCACATAGAATTCCAGCATTTAGAAATAAATATGTCGGGTGTAACTCCATACAACTGTGTGTTCTCCATGAATTTCTAAATCCTACTTGGTTCAGGAAGCCCCGTTTTTGTCAAACAAGAAATTTAATATTGATTGTCCTTTCTCCAAATTTTCTCAATTGGAATGCTCTTACAATGAAATAGTACTTAACACTAAAATTACAGATAACTCTAAAGTCTTTGACCTTTTTTATTCTGAAGTATTCCTTATTTACTAACTTCCAGAAAAAAAATTTTCAAAAAGTTTTTTTTCCCTTTCTTTTCTGTCAATGATTAAACTAGTGCTATGCATCCAAAAAAAGATAGACATCCCAAAGTCTTTTTCATTGCATACAATTAGACCAAGTGGACACTGCCCCAAGGCCAAAAATGCAAACTTCCAATCTTGTGCATCACTAAAAGACAGTGTATTGGTTATTTATTAGTATGTAATAAATTATCCCTCAAACTTACTTACTTAAAACATCCATTCATTCACAGTTTCTGAAGGCCAGGGATCCAGGCTTAGCTGAATTCTCTGGCACTAGGTCTCATAGGAGCTTGCACTGCAGGTGTTAGTGGGGTGAGATTAAATTGTTGGTCTCATTAGAAGACTCAACTGAGGAATGATCTGCAGCTTCTCAGAGGCAGCCCTCAGTTCCTTGCCACATGGGCCTCTCCAGCTTAATTCATTAAAAAAAGGTAAAAAGAGCCAGAAAGAGAATGTAAATGAAAGCAAGGTGATAGTCAGACTTTTGTAAACCATTCACAAACACACAA